CACGTTTCACAGTAAACCTACTCAGCACTTAGTAGCCAGGGTGCAGTGTGGACGGGGTGAGACACCGGTGCTGAGCGGAGATGCAAAGGCTAAAAGACGATGAGAGAAAATCCCACACACTGGGGTAGCTGGGATCTGAACTCTTCAGTTGTAGGTAGAGATTAATAAACTTTTACACAAACCTCAGAAAGAGAACAACATGGCCATGAGATTTTATGAAAGAAAGTAATTTTGAAATACTAACACATTCAAAAGAACAGCTCCTAAAATGCTTGTTAGAAATGATGGTTAGAAATGATGGTTAGAAATGAAGTGGTGGTACTTACCAATGGAGAAATGATTTTCTGTTTGATGTGGACAGTAAACTCTGGCATTTTCCTCTTCTCGCTTTTATATGTCAGGTTCTGTTTGGACTAGTTACTGGTACGGAGAACCAGTATACTCCCCGAAGCAGTACATTCAACTCCCAGGAAGCCCACAACATACTACCACTGGCCTCGAGTCAGATCAGGTGAGTCAGATCCTGAGAAGTTTCTCTGGGCCCCAAGGTTGCCCCTTCGTGCCACTGAAATGCTTCCTCTCCTCTTGGAGGTTTGGCCTGCTTCCACTGAGCATGACGAGCACGCGGAAGGCTAAGTCAACCAGCAGAGGTGTTGAAACAAAAGCCCAGGTTAGTGCCCAGAAAGTTGTTCTTCCCTGCTGTTCCTGTTCTGCCCAGCCAGTCAATTCCCTGTGAAATAACTGAGAAAGAACCAACTGACAGAATGCACTAATGCTGCTTTTAATGGCGGCACAGTAAAGAAATACAAGGTTTTACTAGTTTGAGCCAATAGAAGACTTAACATGCCTGTTGACAAACAAGCAGCCTTATAATAAAAATGTATCCCAGGCTGCAAGGCTGTAGAAAATGTACAAACAGGATGAAGATGGTTTCTTAAGTAGAGTAACAGGGATAACTACAAACCCAGCAGAATGATTATACTAATTTGTAGAAAATCCTTTTGTCCTGGTGCTGGTTTCATCTTCCATTCCTTTTAGTTGTGTAAATAAAGTTTTCTTCCGCTATATCTATATTTTCCTTTTTTTTTTTTTCATTTTCCTCTTAATATACATTTTGTTTCAGTAGGATGCCATCCATTAAGCCTGAAGAATCGCCCTGGGTATTTCTGAATTGTGCTGTGTACATGTGTGTTTGGGAGCTCAGCTTGTCTTGTACTGTTCAGTTGTTGCTGCTTTTATTGTTAGACAAAATACTAGTAACATGTCCTTTCCATATTCTCTGCCATCAAACCCATTAAGATGCAAGTTTTTTTTCAACCTTTTGGTTTTAATTTGGGGGGCCCTTTTAAAAAAAAATGAAAAGCTCTTGCCAAAACCCCACACTCCAAAGCATGACCTGTGCTATAACTTTTCACCATAACACTAGTTACTGGCTACTGGCCTTTAAGTTCTATCCCTATTAGTGGAACAGACTGTGGAAAAGAGGTACATAAGGTTACTCTTTTTCTGGAACAGAAGATTCTCAAGATTCGAGTGTTATCAGATAAAACCCCATGCTGTTCCCATCCTTTTCAACCCTGACAAACAGCAGAGGCCTCTTATTAGAGCCATCCAACCATCTCAGCTCTGCTGTGTGTGCAGTGTGGCTTCCCATTGGAGGGGCATGGACTGCAGTGCAGGGGGAGTGGAAGGGGAACAGGCAGAGGCTTCAGGAGGACTCTAAGGCACTTCCTCTACATCCAATGGCAGGTTGACCCCCCGGCACTCTCCAGAGCAGGTGACCCCATGCAGCCTGGCTCCCTCTTCAGACAGCTCGCCAGTGAGGAAGATGAAACATCCTCACCTTCATTATTCAAACTCAGCTGGCTCTCAAGTATGACAAAATAACACAGGAGCATGCCCGTCTCCTTAAATAAATAATACTGTATTGTTTCTCTGGAAGGTGTCTCTGCTCATTTGTTTCTAAGCATTCTCATTCCAGAGTTAGTGATGGAATGTGGTACCCTAGTCCTGTTAAGGATGACTTTAAACAAAGCTAATACTCCTCCAATAGTCTCATGTTTTTTACTTTGGACATCAGTTCATTTAGCTAGTTTTATTACCATTCATCAATGCCTTAGCTATTGACACTGCATATCTTAGTCTTTTCTAATTGCTAGGATAAAATACTCAACTTCCAAAGTTAAGGAGGAAAGGTTTATTTCAGTTTACAGGTGTAGAAGTTTCCGTTCATAATCAGCGGGCTCCAAGGCAAGGTGGCAGGCAGAAGACAGCAAAAGCAAGCAGGCAAGTGATCAATGACCAGCAGTAAGCAACATGGGGCACACTAGCCCTCTTTCTGTCTCTTACATTTTTATCTCTCAGTTATATTTTTTGTCCCTTGTATTTATCCACAATCATAGCATCACACCATAAATCAATCCCTGCCTCACATCCTTGATGCCAGCAGCACACACTCTAGATCCAGCCACCCCAGAAAAGCACCACTTATGACCACATGAGGCTTTGGGGGTACGTCTAGACATAAGCCATAACATTTTGCCCATGGCTTCCCAAAGACTCATGTACATCCCTTTATGCAAAAGGCATTTAGTCCATTTCCAAAAGTTCCCAAAGTCCTAACAGTTTCAGCATTTCTGAAAAGTGTAAGTCCAAAGTCTCCCCTGAGAGTTAAGGCAAATACTTAGCTGCAAAGTTCCCACATAAATGAAAAAAAGTTAAACACTTCAAACATACATTGGCACAAGATAGACATTTCCATTTCACATGGTACAAAGAGGGGGATAGGAAGGAATGGGAACAAAGCAAGTCCAAAATCCAGCATGGCAAACATTAAGTCCTGTAGCTCCACCTCCAGCATCCAGGGCGATCTGTGGCAAGACGTGAACTTCAAAGATGCTTACTGCATTGCTGATGGTTGGTGGTGCTACATTTACTGCATTGCTGGTGGTTGTAGTTCCCATGCATCTCTTTTGGATAGGCTCTGCTCTCTCTTTGCAGTTTGCCTCAGAGGGTCTACATTTCTGCCTTCTCTAAACTTCTGGGATCTCCACTGCACCTTTGGCTTCGCATTCACAGCTTCACATGTCCTCTCAGGGGGATACTGACCAGCTTCCAGGCTTTCTGAAATCGGGGTGGCAACTTTCCTATCCCCACAACTTTTACATTCTTAATACACCTAAAACCAGCACCACATGGATGATGCCAAGGTTTGCTGCAGCTGGAACAGTAGCCAGGCTTCCTTTTCTCTTGGCTATAGAGATAGAAAGCCTATGAACCAAATCCCAAGGAACAACTTTCCTAAGCTGCCACCGTTCTGGAACATGGTTCTCTGGAGCTGTCTTCTCA